CAAATGTTAACAGTAGACACACAGAAAAACAAAACAGCGCAACAACTTCATACATCAAACAGACCCTGTTCGGATAACGTAAATGGTAAACATGAAAGACAATATAATAGCTATGATTGAAGCTAGCGATTAAAATAAATTAATTATTAATCTCTACAGTTCCTTTGTTTATTGAATATTGTTAAATTAATTATACCGTTAAAGACAAATCGGACACCCCTATATTGTTATTTCTACATGTATTTTTATCTTATATTAATTCCAACATACTTATTACTTACTTTAATGTAAACCAAATTAAATCAGGTCAGAAATTCAGTTTTATTAAATTTATTTAATTATAATGGTTTGAAAGAAAATTCAAAACGGCGGAAAATTATTTAGTGATAGATTAAAATTTAAGTAACAATTTATTATCTAGTTTTCATCTTAATAAACCGTATTACGTCCTCCGGCCTAACGGAGATTTTTAAGTCCTTTAGGCATCGAGTAAATAAGCGATCGGAATTCTTATTGTGAAACGGAATCCCATTTTTCAAAAAGAGCGGTTTGAAGATGTCCAATGCTTAAGTGTTCTATAACTTTCATATCAGGAGGACGTGCAAGCCAATTTCTTGAGGTAATCCCTACATCGTACAAAGTAATGGGTGACAACTCGAGCTAAATGAGGTCGGGCATTATCGTGCATGAACACGAAGTTGTCCCTAATAAACGGAGCGAATGGGACCGCCGCTTCCAGAATAACTTCTTCGACGTGCCCTAGTGCAGTCAAAGATCCAGTCTGTATGACAATCAGTTCGCTTCGGGCATGGACGTTGATTCCACCCCATACCAGAACTGACTGACTTTTAAAAGGCGTGACTCACGCATAGCACATAAACTAAGCGTTCTACACGTCTTCTCCACACATGGTCCCGGTCATTTGATTGTCACAAAAAAAAAAAAAAAAAAGAATATGGCCTCATGTTGGCCTATCTTAACCCTGTCAACTAAATAAAAGAAAGTTGTAACACTGGCTGGTTTCTCTCCCGGCTGCCTCCTGGTCTGACAGATTTGTCGTATTTGTATATAATTATCTATAAAATTTGCTCAATGTGTATTTATTTTGTGCATATAGCAATAAATAAAATAATCTTAAAAAATCTCTAATAGAATGGAAGCTATTGGGTTAACAGAAAGCTGTTACCAACATCTGTACAAAAAAAAGCCAAATGATACTTTTTAGTGACTGACTTAAAACTGCCAAAAGATTCCGATTTCTTAAGAAGGTGGCACCTGATCAGATGCGTCCCTACTTAATCTTAAAAATAAATGATTGATGATTCTACCTCAGATTAATTTTTATTAATTTTGGTTACATCATAGTATAAGTTTTGTGTTGAATGTTGAAGTTTTAATGGGTGTGCTTTTAAATGTAAGATAAATAAAGAAATATTGTATTTATTACTAAATCCATTAGATTTCGTTGTCCGATTGACCAACTAACTTCTTTCAGTTAATTAATCTTTTTGTAAGGTACTGGTAAAATAAAAAAACAATAGCGCAAGTGGTAGAGTACCGGCGTTTTTAGCCGAAAGTCGTGGGTTCGAATCCCGCTCTTGACACTGGTTTTTTTTATTTCAACCAATACCACACATGTATTTATTATTATATGAATATTGTTACTGGAGTACTGTATTTTGTTATTTTAAAGTTTTTGTTTTTATAATTTGTTGGTATTGGCACAAAACATTGCCTTAGTTGTTTTCTGATTCCTTGGTTGTGTTTCAATAAAAATGTAAATACATTACTTATTTATGTAAATATATGTATATTATTTTCATGTATTGGGCCGTTCGGGAATTTACACGCCACATCATCAGCATCTTAATTTTTTAAAGAAAAGGCATAAGTATAAAAATTATATTCATATTTTACAATATTTATCCAAAGTTTAACATTTTTATATGATTGAGTAATATGATGGTTTTGATTTTTTTAAATTTATTGTGTACACATTTGTAGATATATTATGTTACACACTATTTATGCTGTTTGTACTAATGTGTTGTGTTTAGTGACCGTTAGTCAATTATTATTCGGAGATGGTGAGATGCGGTCTGGTGTGACGTAGGTTTTAGAAAAACTTTTTCTTTAATGTGCAACGTTTCGATCTTTATTCAGATCATCTTCAAGGTTCAAAGTGTTTGTTTTATCCGTAATTGTATCATTCTTGTGGGACGTGGGCACTCTCAACACGATTTTTATAGATCTAAGATCGAAACGTTGGCACGATAAAGAAAATGTTTGTACTAATGTTAAATGTTATTATGTTTGTCTTTATGACTGCTGTAAATGTTCCAGTCGACTTTCCCTTATTTTATTAAATTTTGTTTTAAATTGGTTTTAAATTCGTGGGCATTATAAGTGTTTGTATTGTTCATTGCAATCTTAATCGTCGGTGATTATCCTGATGTCAGGATGACCAATTCCTTTGCCCAAAGGATAAAGGAAAATTTCCTTTTTTAAAACCTGATATAGCTTCTAATCTTTCTTGAAGATGTCTTGTCTCTGTGTTTTCAAAATGGTGGATTTCTGTGGCTAACGCCAATCTAAAAGTTAAACTTTTCTCGACATCTCAGAAAGTTAAACATTTTCACATTTAGTTATTTATTCTGTCATTGTTTTAGAAGATATTGACGTTTGCAATTTCTCAATAAGCAAGGTTAGGGGGCGTGGCCACAACGGTTTAGGCGTAGACACGGCGCTCATCACTGTAAGGTAAAGGTCCCGGGTTCGAATCCAGCGGTCCTGCTTTCAAACCCGACATACTTACAAATGGGCTTTTTGTCAAAACCGGCACCCCGAGGGTTCATATAACCTCTGCTGTTGCGAACCCTCGTAAAAAAATATAAAAAAATAAATAAATAAGAAAGTTATTCAGATATCGTGAGACGCGATCGGGTGTGATGTAGGTTTAAGAAAAATATTTTCTTTATCCTGCCAACGTTTCGATCTTTTATTGAGATCATCTTCAGGTCCTGGGATTTACAAACAATGTTTACATTTAACAAATACATTTAGGATGTGGAAAACTGAATTTATACAATGCAAAATATATTTTATATACAAACAAAGTATTTCTACTCACTCAAAGTGTTTGTCTTCTGTGTAATTGTGCCATCCTTGCGTGTCGTGTTGAGAGTGCCAGTGAGATTTTGCTGTTTTATGTTTATATATGTTTGGTGTTGAAGGGGTGGGGAAGGAAGTCGGTATATAAAAGACAATTTTGTGTAAGGCGTCGGCTTCTTTGAAGTGAAATAAGCCGACAAAGGGGAACAATGTGTTGGTAATAGTTCGGCCAGATTGTCCTTTCTGGATTATATAGAAAGGGGATAATTAGGAAAAGGAAAGCTAAATTGTTGGAAAATTAGACTATGTGAAATGAATTTGATGTGTGGAATGTAATGTAATGATATATGTATGTTATCTATATTGAATTTGATTAATGATATTGGCGTAGCTGCGACTGAGTTTACATGTATCTGTTCTGTAATTGATGCTGAGTTTATCTCTGTTGATATAAACCATTTCTAAGAAATTACGTTTATATTTGTTTTGTTCTGTATGTAATATTTTTGGATTTTTGAAGTCAAAATTGTGGTGGTGTTCAAAGTGGTGGGTAGCGAGTGCTGTAGGCTTTTGCTTGGGTTTTTTGCAATCATAGATATGTTGCTTTTCTCTCTTGTCCAGATATTGGGATGTAAGACCGATGTAAGTTGCCGGACAGTTTTAAAAAAAAAAAAGTGTTGATCTTGTGAACAGTTGTAGATTACGTCAGATTTATTTGTTATTGGTGTGGGATCTTTAACTTTGGAAAAAGTGTTTGGATTGTTTTGTAATTTTTGAAAGCTATTTTGAAGTTATCGGACGAGAAAATGTGTTTAATTTGTGTGATAGGCCTTGAATAAATGGTATGGAAATGTATGCTTGTTTGTTTGTATTTGATATATTTAATGTAGTATTATTAGTAATAGTGGAATGTGTTAGTGTTGTGTTGTAGTTGTTGATTATTCTGTTAATTATGTGCTTAGGGTAGAGATTGTTATGGAGGATCTCTTTGTACATCTTTATGTTCTTGTGGTGAAATGATTCATGGCTCAGGGTAATCATTCTGTGAAGTAACCCTTTGGCCGTGTTTATTATTGTATGAAGAGGATGGTGAGATTTAAAGTTGAGGTAGCGATCTGTGTTTCTTGGTTTTTGGTACCAATCTGTGATTAATGTGCCATCTGGTTGTTTTATTACAAGTGTATCTAAAAATGGTATTGTTTTGTTGTTTTCGATTTCATGTGTAAATTGTAGGCGTGGGTGAAAGCTATTGAATGTGTCTAATGTAGTTTGAATTTGATCTGTGGGAACTGCTGTCAATATATCATCTACGTATTTAGTGAGGAAGGGTAATGTGAAAGGAAGTTGTGGTATGACTGTATTTAGTAGCTGTGTCATGATTATGTCGGCCAGTATCGGGCCTAGGTTGCTACCCATGGCTATACCAAACAGTTGTTTGTAAAAATGATTGTCGTAAAATAACGTAAAATATCCGTTAACACAGCAGTGTCGGATCATTGTTACGAACGTGTTCTTTGATAGTATTGTGTGTGGTGTTATGTTGGGCGATTTATCTTTGATAATGTTCAGTGTTGTAAATAAGAAAGGTTCATCCAAATGCTAAACAGGTTAATTAAGAATTAGCCGATATAACCAATCACATGGATTAATTTAGTAAAACAGTCAATATGGCTGATTGGATGAGGGTTTAATGAAGATTTACGTAATAACTTGTTTTTTGTTTTCATCATTCTTAAATTAGGGTCTACATTGATCGAATGGTGTTTACACTAGATTCTACGTTGTTTGTTCCTAAATAAAACAAAGGTTAATGCTGATGTGACAACAAAAACGTCTTATACAAGGGTAATTAATGTTGAGAAGAAACAATGTAAATAATTTTCTCTTACATGGACCCGTTGATACGAACACGTACACCGAATCTGGTTCGGTGTTGCTCGCTCTACAAGTGTAATTTCCGGAATGGGCCGGAGTCGCGTCTGTGATCAGGAGCCTGCTGTGTGTCTTCTCGCCGGATGTCTCCGTCAGCAGCTGGACCCTGTTGTCTTCTGGGCGGCCGGCATCATGATTGATCATCTTCTCGTTGTGGTACCACATTATGAACTGGGGCGGCATCGGGCTCTGGAAATGTTAAAAAACAAACCGTTTTAACTAGGATCTTCCCGAGCTGGAGAGATGGCATTCCGGCCCGTTTCAACTGTCACCGGCATCCCTATCTCTTACATATCTAACCTTCCTCAAACCACTTGGCTTAACACACAGTTGTTTTTACATAGAAAATCTTAACTGTAATCAGATTTTATATAAAAATAAGTTGGCTTGTTGTTACATTCGGAGTGTAAATCAAGTGACATGGGGCTAAAATGTAGTATTGGTCTGTTTACTGTCTTTCATTTCTCTCTATTTTGGATTTACTACTTTAATTAAAGTCTTTGACACATTGAAACAAAAGTAGTCTTAACAGGAGACAATTTAATAACAGAACAATCTCTCCTTTCCTTCTATGATAATTAACAAAATTAGTTGTAAGAGAATAAGAACAAAAGTAAACCCTGATTGTTATACACAGAAACGCTAAAACCATTGTATAAAACTTGACAGGATTTATTAAGTAAAGTGTATGTCTTTTTTTAAATACAGGTTTCTGTCTTTGTTCTACATGTAATTTAATATAATAATATATATATCAATCGTTTTTTACCTAGTGTAAGAAAACAATTTGCAAGAAGTTTTTAATGAGATCAGACATATAAAAAGTTATAAAAGCGAAAAGTTGCTTTATAAAAGCACATCAACCAAATTTTGAAAAAAAAATCGGATTCGTTTTAGGATTTACTGATACTGGAGCACTAATTTTTGTAACAAAGAATAAAATGCATTTTTCGGCTGGATCAGCAGGCTTTTATTTTTGTATTGTCCGTAGTTTTAATTAAAAATGTATAATTCTTCTGGCTTTTATGCAATCTCCACGTTATTAAAATGGTCGGACAAAGCTGTAATCTCTATCTTGGTGTATATTGGTTTTGTAGGTGTTCTTATAGGTGAGAAAAATAAGGATAAAATCAACATAAACTCCTTTTTTTAAAATATATCTGGTCATGAATTGTGAAGCCTTTACATCTATTACGTGTAAGTTATGGGGTTCTAAACCCTTGTAAAGTTCCTTATAAATCTGTGGAATCATTTCAAAATTATCCCCAGAGATTATCCCGTTTTTCCTAATTTGTTGTGCTTGTAATCTGTGTAAGATATGGTATTTTTTAAACAATTTTTTTTTGGATAACACGTAGGAAGTTGTGGTTGATGAGAGGACTTTGGAGCCCTGAAATAAATACGTGTTATCCGAAAAACTGGATGTTTCGTTCCCTTAAAAAAAAAAAAAAAAAAAAAAAAAAAAAAAACAAATAAATAGATATAATACTTAATATAGCATAATATAATTTAGTGTCATGTTAAATTTAAGCATGAAGATATTTTTAATTATGTATTTATCTTTATTATTCCATTTTCTCCCCCAGTAATAATTATTGCTGAAATACCTTTCCCTCTTTCTATCTATATATTTATCTATCTTTCTATTTATCTATTTATATATCTTATCACTCGATATTTCTTTGTTTAAAGCAATGTATATATTTAAACCCTCTTTAAAAAATTTCTTTAAAATCAAATCAAATGTTCAACCTCTCACTTTTTTATTTCTCTCTTTCTCTACCCTCTCTTTTTTTTATTTCGCTGTATCTATTTCACCCTTTCTCTCTCCCCAACTCTCTTTCTTTATTTCTCTCTCTCTCTCTCTCTTTCTCTCTCTCTCTCTCTCTCTCTCTCTCTCTCTCTCTCTCNAAGCGAAATTACTCTGAAATGGTTGAGAATCGGACCATGGACAATATGAACTTTTTTGTTCATTTTAGGGTGAAGAATCTACTGGAGAAGTTTGTAGCACGAGTAGCAATTCACCCTGTATATATATATATATATACACGTCCTGACCACAGTTTATCACCAATTTTTTATTAAAAAAAAATGTTTTTGTAAGGCTCAAAAAAAGTTATTTTTAATTTTCTTCAATTTGTATTCAGGATTTTTGAATTGCAGAAAACGAATATCAACTTTGCTTTTTGCTACAAAAATATTATAAATTGTTTTTGCTACGTTGCTCGGTCACAAATATTTTTATTTATTTATTTATTTTTGCAAAGATGTTATCTTTTTGCGAGTTTATTTTTCTAGCTTAGTCTGAGGTTTGCTAACATAATTTTTGTTCCATCCCAGATACGCTTTTTAGAAAGGGTTTTGAGCTTACGTATAATATTATTCACCTCATGAGGTGCATATTACAGCCAGAAAACGACCACTCTACGCGTTCATCACATTAGAAATTCCACGATTCCACACATCTGTTACGACCTTTCTTAAACAAATACTTGTTCAAATACCTGCCATTTTTTAAATTGTTATAACTTAGAAACCATTACCTGATCTGTACTACATTTTAAAGGAGTTTATAAATCTATAAACTACAAAAAATTCCATAACATTTGTCTACGTAAATAAAGTAGATTTAAATGTGTACAATAACATGTTTCAAGAATGTTTGTTGACTACACCCTTTAAAAACCATATATTCAAAAGGTTATATAAATTACTTTTTCTCTTCCCCTAGGGCTCATTGGTAAGAATGATGGAAGCAAAAAAAAATTTTTAATTAAAATCATAGATCTCACGTCCATACAGTCTTATTGTAAAACGTTTATAAGTTAAACCGCTAAATTTTATAATAATCGTAATCATAAAATATATACCTAATGCATTTTTCTCATTTTTACAAACAATTTTATTATCATCTATTATCATAAAAACGCATATTTAAAAATCTTTATGAACAGAGATGAATAGATAATACATAATACATTGGCTTAATTGGATTTTCAATAACGTGTGATATAGAATAAATATTGTAATTAAAATGTGAAAAAATTCTACCTATGATATTACAATTATATATGTCAACAACAACTGTAATACAAATAAAATGTCTGTTTTATATTGAAGCAATGAAGTCGCTTCTATGTAAATTTAGTCTAAACTGTGTAAATTTGAAATTTTAAGATGTCGACTTGAATAATTTATAAACAGTTATTTGTGAAAAAAACTTTCGAAGGCTGATGACATTATTCATGAAATTTTTAATTCCAGATTACAAAACCCTAATTAAATATGCATTCCAGAAAGCGTTGGAACTGTTCATCAACATACTTTAATCACTATTTTATTTATGATGATCAAACTGTGTGCCAGGTATGAAAAAATCAAAGCAAAAAAATAAAAATAAAAAAGGAATTCGATAACCAATAAAAACTAATATTCAAACTAACAAGAAAACCATCTTTTTAGCTATTGCCAAATATGTAGTTTCATTTGCTTCGAAAATGATTTACTGGATTGTATTAATGTAGTTTGAATTTTTATTGTATGGATGTGTTTTTGAAAAATTTACATTTCAAATACGTTTTTCAAAAAGAAGAAAACTGAATGAAATGAATAAAGTTTAGTTTAGTCTCTTTCATTGGAGCTCATTTGTTATTCAATTTCTCCCAGAAAGATGGAATCAACAATTATTAGTGTCTATCTACATATAGTGTATTTAGAGCTATAATGTTCATAGATCGAAAATGTAAACAACAAATATAGAAGTTCACGTATTTCCCTAAAAGGTTTATAATCCTTTAAGTCCTCTGTAGACTGCTTGGTAAATTAAACAGAATAAAGTTTAAGTACTGTGTAGAGATTAGTGACCGTTAATCGATAGTTATTCAGATATCGTGAGATGCGGTCGGGAGTGATGTAGGTTTCAGAAAAACATTTTCTTTATCGTGCCAACGTTTCGACCTTTTATTGAGATCATCTTCAGGGCCTAGGATTTACAAACAATGTTTACATTTAACAAATACATTTATGATGTGGATAAGTGAATTTATACAATGCAAAATATATTTTATATTCAAACAAAGTATTTCTACTCACTCAAAGTGTTTGTCTTCTATGTAATTGTGCCATCCTTGTGTGTCGTGTTGAGAGTGCCAGTGAGATTTTGCTGTTTCATGTTTATATATGTTTGGTGTTGAAGGGGTGGGGAAGGAAGTCGGTATATAAAAGACAATTTTGTGTAAGGCGTCGGCTTCTTTGAAGTGAAATAAGCCGACAAAGGGGAACAATGTGTTGGTAATAGTTCGGCCAGATTGTCCTTTCTGGATTATATAGAAAGGGGATAATTAGGAAAAGGAAAGCTAAATTGTTGGAAAATTAGACTATGTGAAATGAATTTGATGTGTGGAATGTAATGTAATGATATATGTATGTTATCTATATTGTATTTGATTAATGATATTGGCGTAGCTGCGACTGAGTTTGCATGTATCTGTTCTGTAATTGATGCTGTGTTTATATCAACAGAGATATGTACATACAGAACAAAACAAATATAAACGTAATTTCTTAAAAATGGTTTATATCAACAGAGATCTCTCACGATATCTGAATAACTTTAAGTACTGTCGTCATTTTGTATAATACAACTGTCTAAACTGTTGTTTACACAGCAAATAAAAGTAAGTTCGTGCTAGTCTAATTTATCACAAAAGTTATGTATACAATTTTGTTGAATTCTATCTAATTTATTTATTTATTTATTTTTTTTTGTTTAAAGGCAGCAACCACAATCAGCGTTATATTTGCCTTGAATCTATCCTGAGTGCGGCCTGCGGGGGAAGCAGACGCCCGACCGAGGAGCCAGGCAGCACGGGGGGATATGGGAAGCATTCTCTTGCATTGGGGCTTCCATTGTCGCCCAAAAGTCCCCACACAATATATATATACACGTCCTGACCACAGTTTATCACCCCACCGGCACCACACCCGAGCGCCCGCCACCAGCCACAGGTCCCATCTCTTTATTTCACCTCACAAATCAGATTTTACCAAACAATTCTGTTTCCCTTAAAAATTTAAATAATCTTGATACTGTTGTTTCTCTGTCATTTAGCAATTCGGGTAGAGAGGCGGGCAACTCACTGCACATGCGTGCCCTTCTGTACATCTTACATTCTAACAGTATGTGCTTG